TTATATGAAGGGGTTCAGATAGTGTCCTATCAGACACGCACCACACTTACCCCAGTTGACTTCTTTCAATATTTACTGATAAGGGACTTTGCAAAGCTGATATGCATTAAAGGAGCTGCACATAAAATACTGACCTTTTATGAGAGGATGTGTCTGAATGAAACCCCCCAGCGAGGTATCATAACCTTACTGTACGCATAGCTATATATGGAAATGAAGGAACAGGGGGCAACTGACTTACATTTCTCAATGGGAAGCGGACTTGGGGGAAGTATTGGAAGGCATTGACTGGCTGGAGGGGGTGCGGCCTCACAGGCACATACCTACATATGTGATGGGAATGCCCCCAGATTAGGCTACTCTGGTCTGCAGTAGGCGATGTTCTGGAAAAACGTTTTAACAGACGACCGGACTTAACCACATGGGAGTGCCTCCTGTATAGGCCATTGGAAGGGTGGACTCGAATAGAACAAACTCTGATACAGAAAGTCACCTTGTCGAGCAGACGGGCGGTTGCCCAGATTTGGCTGCAGGCCACCGTTCCCTCCATCTCATAAGTCCTAGATAAAGTTAAGGACAATTGTCTGATGGATAAACTGACAGCGCAGGTGAGAAACATGGTACATAAGTTTGAAAAGATATGGGAACCCTGTTTCTCCAGTGACCTTGCAGACTGACATAGGACGTAAGTGAAGACCTATGGAGGGTGGTGTAGAGGGACCGACAGATGGGGCACTCCCCCGGTTCCCTCCCTGGAACCGTCCCACCTAGTAGGCAACCACTACTCTCTATCTTTTCCTTCTTTTCCTCTTTCTTCCTAAAGCGACTCTCCTACACGCCTTCCACAAGCGGGATGTGAGAGGGGATGTGAGCATCATATTGGGGTCTTACACAGGATTATGCAATCTTCTCAGGGTATGGGCACGTGTTCCGCTAGAGCAGAGGGGTCTTTCTGTCCTTATATATACTCAAATTTTTTAAAAAAAATTTAGGTTTCATATAGGTATCGATATCAAGGTGGGTGAATATGGTCATGAGGTGAATTAAAGACATGATGTTATTCTGTTTAACTTGGACGAGTCGCACTTGATGTCATATATTGTTTAACTCTTTGTTGCTGTACCATGTGTATAGTGGTGTTCTGTAATGAGTATCACTTTGTTGTTCTATTTTTGACCAAAAAGAAAGAATTGCAAAAAAAAGAAAGAAATTAACATAAGCAGGATTTTTGCTCAATCTTGGAGGAAAGAGAACACTTTACTACAGATTTCACCAAAGGACGCTGTTTTGTTAACAGCTATTAGAATTAAATTTTTTTGGTATATCACAGATTTCTACTGATACTACGCAGAAAAAAATAAAATAAAAAAATACATATATATATATATATATATATATATATATATATATAAATGAGGAAAGATACCGGAACTCCAAGGTGTCCTGATGAAAGCTCCTTAGGGGAGCTGAAACGTCGATTATTTTTTCTTAAATAAAAGAAGAACTTTTGAATGATAAATCCTTGGAGTGCCAGTATCTTTCCTCATTTATATTCCAGCAACCAGAGCACCAGGTATTTTGGATCTTTTGGTTGGAGTGCAGGGGTTTTTCACCTTTATATATATATATATATATATATCTAAAATTATATGTAAATAAGTAAAAATACATAAAAAATTATTTTAAAATTGCCAAAATCATGTGGATACTCTCATTTCACTCTTGCAATTTTTTGGTAGTTAGAAGAAATTGCAGTTACTCCCATGAACACTATATGTCACTATGCAAGCAGGCCTCACTTCAACCAAAAGTCAAGCCTCTGCACTTGTGTGAACAATAGGGAACTACACGGAGAATTTATCAAGATAAATTAGCTATTGCACTTGGATCAATATGCCAAGTCAGTGTAAGGCAGCTTAACACTAGGAGAGAGAGGAATGGGAGAATACTGAAGGAGAGAGGAATAAAAGAATACATGGAGGAAAGTGGAGTGAAGGAATACTGAAAAGAGAGGAGTCAAAGAATACAGGGAGGAAAGAGGAGTAAAGGAATCCTGGGAGGAGAGAAGAGTTAATGAATGCTGGTAGGAGAGAGGAATGAAGGAATACTGGGCTGGAAGGAATTCTTACCTTCAATGACGCTGGGCGGACTGACACAGGACAGGAATACATAAGTTTCTAGCAATCTCGCGATCTCTTTATAAGATCGCGGACCGCACGTTCTCTGCTGTTTCCGACCTTCTGGGAACAGCAGGGAGTGGTGGCCATCTTGGATGGGGCAATTCACGGCGGAACCCCAATTTTGTTCTAAGGGTTCCGCGGAATACCAATTGGGAAACGCTGATTTAGAGTAAGTTAATCTACTGAAGTTCTTTTCGGGTATATTGGGGTTATGGGCCCTAGTGGATATTGAGACCAGAGGACTATGAATTCCTTGATCCTTTTATTTGTGACCTTGAATGCTTGGTGATTTCTAAACTTCGATATATAGACATGATATTTTGTAATCATTCATGTATGAAGGTCAATCTTAATGAGTATTCATTCATGGATGTCAGTGCCAACGCTATGTGTATATGAAGGTCAGTCTTAGTTTGAATTCATGTATGTAGGTCAATCTTAGTGTGTATATATGTATGAAGTTAAGTCGTAATTTGTATTTATGTATCAATGTCAGTGTTAATGTGCATATATATATATATATATATATATATTATGGTTAGTTTATGTGGTTGCATGTGAGAAGGCTACGCTAATGTTTGTGTGTTTGCATGTATGAAAGCCATGTATGTGTGCATGAGTAAAGGTTGGTATATGGGTACTGTATATGTATATATGAAGGTTGATATCTGTGTGTGTAAGTGTGCATGTATGATATACCACAATGACAATGGAAAAGCAGTGAAAGAAAGGTCAGTCTTAAATTAAAGGGACACTCTAGGCACCCAGGCCACTTCTTTTTAATGAAGTAGTTTGGGTGCAGTGTCCTTGTCATTTTAGCAATGCAGCTGCAATCATTGCAGTTTACATTGCCGGGTTCAGCCTGCCTCTAGTGGCTTCCTACCAGATAGCCACTAAAGGGACTTCCTGGGCTTTCATGGTTTCATGCTTTGCATGAGGACATCCAAAGTCTGCTAAAACTCCACAGGAAATCATTGATTCAATGCTTTGCTATGGGAAGGCCTAAAGTATGTGTGGAGCTTGACATACACACGCATTAGGTTCCCCCATTGGCTGACATTGGAGGAGGAAGAGTCAAGTCAAGAGTCAAGCCGGGGGGAGGGTGGGTGCAAAGAGACACTATAGTGTTAGGAATACAGGTTTGTATTCCTAACACTATAGTGTTCCTTTAAATACACAGAGTGTGGGGGTTGTCTTTATAAATATATATTTACCTGACATTTCAATGAGGGAAAAATGCCTGTAGCCATGTAAAAATATCAATCAAAGTATGGGAGATGACATGCCTGTCATATATAAATCTAAATGTAAGTACAATGTTAATATTCTGTAATGAATATCAACATGTCACACTGATTCAATAAATTATGTGATCTGACATATTACACAACCTGTCGCTGCTCTAATGTGTATATGGAACAAAAACATGCAAATAAATGAATAATAATCATCATTATCATAATCACATTTTTTCAAACACATAACTTGGTGCCCCCTTGTGGCCTATTTGATGATTGCATAAAATAAGTCCGACATATCTGGTTGAAAAATGATTAAAATGGCTCGTAATACACTACACATAAATGCAATGCACATGTGTAAGACAAATAAAAAAGTTATTCAATGTAACAAATCTAGTATCCACTTCCTGCCCCAAACTCTGCGGTGCAGCAGCAATCTATCTCGACACCAGCCTGGGACATAGATAACATCACTCCATTCCAACCTGCAAATTCTAGTACTGCGAACCTGAGCCATGCTACAACAGCTGTCACCTGAGCTGCTGTGGACTTACATCCATAACATCTCTCATAAGCATTGCTTAGAGCACGTTTATTATATATTTTTTAATGTTGATGTTACTGTTATTCTACTGCTATGTTGTAGTCACCTCTCTTATCCTGCACAATTTCCGCTTACTCTGCCCGTTCTCATAGCGGAGATTTACTAACCCCATAAAGCGATGATTCTAGATGTTTGTAGCCTCATAGGTGAGGCACCTTGCTTCATATGCAGCCATGCAATTGTGTTCACCTGGTTTAGCTTTGGGACAAACAAAAACACGGACACCCGTGAGAAAAGTGATGAAACACAACAACTTAACTGAAAAGTACACAGCTTCCCAAGGTTATTTCCCAGCTGATAACCTTATGTGGATATGGATATTGTTTGTTTTTTGAATTAATTGTTTTTTGAACTAATTGATTGTTAATGCATAAAGATACATTTAAAATTGAACATATATTACTCATGTCGTTTTATCTAAACCGAATATGACATTGAGTATATGGTTGGTCAATTATTTTTATTTCACACAATATGGATATGTAATTGAGTATGCAATAATTAATAAATAATAATATTCATTGGTTAATTGTTTTTAGTTTACACAATATGGATATGTAATTGAGCATGAAATAATTAATAAATAATAACTCTCAAGTCACTTAATATATATATAGATTTGTAAATAAGTACAATATCACTTATGTCACTTTAAAAAGATTAATGCACTTTAATAGGTTTGTTTACTACGTTGGTGCACTAGACATTAATGTCAATATATGAACATATGAATTCATTAATAACTAATTGTTATCATATATATATTTTTTGTAATGTTATGATATATATATACTTTTTTGCAACATTATGATAGATGTTATGAATGGTCAACTTGGATAGGAAGTTGTTACACATTCATTGTAAGAATGGTATTTAGCGTTTTATTGTTAGAGGACAATTATTATATTATTTTAAAATTTTCTTATATGATTCCTAATAGTTTTTCTGTTTCCAGTCATGTGTGTATAATTAGTAGGCAAAAGAAAAACGATGTTTTCCAGGCTGCCACCACTGTGGAACGCACGTCCATTTTACTTCCTGAATGTGGAACGCATAATGATCATGTGATCAATCACGGAACACGTGACGCGAACGTAACGTATGACGTATGCGGAAGTGGCCAAATTTAGAACGAGCCCGGCTTTTTTCATTCCGATCAAGCGAACACAGCTGAAGACAAGAAATTTTGGACGAATAGGAGTCAAATAGGAGAAAACACCCACTGTTCCACCAATGACTGTAAGGGATTAGCCCTATATAAGGTTATACATGTGTTAGCGTTTTTAGGATGCTGTTTTTTATTCTCTGTATTTCTGGTGATTGAATTTTGTGCTGAAAGAGGTCCCTTAGGAAGTCCTTTTTGTATAAGGACGAAACGCGTAGGACCAGCATCTCTTTCTTATATTGTTTTTATGTATTTTTATACACCTCTTGAATTTTAAAAGTGAATAAATCGCCTTTCAAGTATTCCTTTGGTTGCAATTGTTTGGATCTTCTTGCTGACCTGGATACTCCATTGGCTAACACTTGAGGAGGGAGAATTAAAGGAGAATAACCCCCCCATTTATATTTAGGGGGAGGCACCCTGAATACGCTTATATTCTTTGGAATATGTGAGTGCATACTTTTCATCAATGGTTTTATAGTGTGTAGCAATATTTGCACTATGTTTTGTCCTCTATTGTAGGTACATCAGCAGAATCCCAAATATCCTATCAATTATATTAGCTTTGGGACAGCCTAATACATTTCTGTTTATCATCGTATTAATTTAGGCATTTGGGCCCTGAGCTGTCACAGATTTCAGCTTGTTGTTAAAGGGACACTATAGTTACCAGAACAACTACAGCTTATTGTATTTGTTCTGGTGAGTAAAATCATTCCCTTCAGGCTTTTTGCTGTAAACACTGTCTTCTCAGAAAAAATACATTGTTTACATTACAGCCTAGAGATACCTCCACTGGTTACATATGGCTACAAGAGGTGCTTCATGGGGCAGTGCATGGAGACACTGAACTTTCTTCATAGAGATGAATTGATTCAATGTATCTCTATGAGGAGATGCTGATTGACCAGGGCTGTGTTTGGTTTGTGCTGGCTCTGCCCCTGATCTGCCTCCTTGACAAGCTCAGCCAATTCTATGTTTTACTATGGGAAAGCATTGTGATTGGCTCAGATCAACACTTCTGATGATGTCAGCCAAGCAGGCAGAGCCAGCAGCAGCAGACAGGAATAAAGGTAAGATTTTACTATATTTACGTGGCAAGGTGGTGGTGGTGGGTGGGGGGGCTAGATGGTGTTTTTTAACACTAGAGGGACATTAATACATGTGCTCATGACCGTATAGTATTCCTTTAAGTTATTCACAGAATACTGCTGTCAGTTTATTTTTCACTTTGTCTATTGTTGGACACAATGCAAGAGTATTCCTCTCTTATTTTACTAAAACACCTTGTTGTACATCTGTTGCAATGTGATGACTCCACGTGTTACTTTTTGCACTTCTGCATGTGATTGGAGAAATAAATAAAGAATTTTAAAAAAAGAAGCAAATTTAGAATGGACTTTTTGTAAATTGCTGAGTAAATCCTTAAAACATTACTTTTTAAAAATTAATCATATTAATTAATTTATATTTTTGAATACCTTTTAAATAGAGATGTCGCGTACCGTCCGCGAACTTCTCGCGAACGGTTCGCCATGAACTGTTCGCGGCGAACTCCGGTCAGCTGACACATCCCGGCCAATCTCCAGCAGACCCTCCCTCCCAGACCCTCCTACTTCCTGGACAGCATCCATGTTGAAGGCAGCCCTTCAACATGGATGCTGTCCAGGAAGTAGGAGGGTCTGGGAGGGAGGGTCTGCTGGAGATTGGCCGGGATGTGTCAGCTGACCGGAGTTCGCCGCGAACTGCGGTGAACCGTTTGCGGACGGTTCGCGACATCTCTACTTTTAAACAATATCTAAGGCAAATACAGAAATGATTGTTTAGCACTTAAAAGACTAAATGAAAAATAAATACCTGACATTTAATCTCTCTAATGCTCTATCGAATACATCACCATTAGTCTATGAATGTATCACTATATCTCCATTTCTTTACCATCTATTACTATGTAATTGTAATACCAATATCAGTACCTCTCGATGGACTATATCAAAACTTCTCTGTGGACATTATCATTACTTCTATATGGACTATATCACTACCACTACATCAATATATCTCTGTGAGCCAATACTATTGCACTCTATGGATATATCAGTACTACATACTATAACACTGAGTCTTAAAGGACCACTATAGGCACCCAGACCACTTCAGCTTAATGAAGTGGTCTGGGTGCCTGGTCCAGCTAGGGTTAACCATTTTTTCTATAAACATAGCAGTTTCAGAGAAACTGCTATGTTTATATTAGGGTTAATCCAGCCTCTAGTGGCTGTCTCTTGACAGCCGCTAAAGGCGCTTGCGTACTTCTCACTGTGATTTTCACAGTGAGAAGACGCCAGCGTCCATAGGAAAGCATTGTAAATGCTTTCCTATGAGACTGGCTGAATGCGCGCGGAGCTCTTGCCGTGCATGCGCATTCAGCCGTAGAGGAGGAGAGGAGGGTGGGGGCACCCTCAGGGCACTATAGTGCCAGGAAAACGAGTATGTTTTCCTGGCACTATAGTGGTCCTTTAATTAATCATATCATTATCAATCTATGGATTATATCACTACCGGTTATTATGATCATGTACTTGCTCTCTGGATATCATACCAGAGTGTGCATCTTGGTTCAAGAACATCAACAATAAGACCCTAAGTCCTTACTTCTTGGAGTTCCACAATGTTAAAAGGAGCATAATATACTAATTGATACATTCCC